AGAGAAAGCGAGAGAGACAGAATGAGAAGGACACACACACACAGGGAAAGAGGAAGAGAAAAAAAAGGACAGGGCAGTCAGATTTAAGTACAGGAAGTGGGTAGCCAGAGTAGCTACCATTATCAGCAGGGGAAACAGAGAGCACAACTCACATTCGCATCTCAAATACCTTGCTACTGAAGGTGTCTAGGGACCAGCAGCACAAGCAAGTATCGAGTATCGCCCAAGAGCTTGTAAAACACACAGAATCATGGCCCCCACTTCAGACCTCGTGAATCAGAATCTGCATTTTAACATATTGCCTAGTGAATCATATGCACATCAGAGTGTGAGAAGCACTGCTGTTTAAATGCAAATACATAAATGGGAAACTAATCTAATACATCTCTGCTTTTGAGGTGACATGACATGAAAGCTAATTTTTGGTCCATCGAGAAACAGCTGTGCCTGGTGCCTTTTAGCATTATAAATTATGAACTGATGTTCACATTTGATATAATAATATACCTGGAACTCATATTTAGAATCTTCATGATGGGAAGACAAACTGATCTTTGAGATCACTGATGAAAGTGTAATATGTGTCTTTTCTGCTCAGACCGATACTATCAAAAGTTTTCCTCTGAGAGGAAGGAAAATGATAGAAAAGCAAATATCTGGCCAAGAATTATGATAAATGGAACCATTGATTTTTTTTTAAATTGATTCTGAGTAAATGTTTTTCCCCTTCTAGTTTATTCAGGCTATTACCATCTGGACCAAAAATCAATGACCGGCATTGCTGTAGGCGTTGGCATAGCCTTGACCTGTATCCTCATCTGTGTTCTTATCTTGATATACCGGAGTAAAGCCAGGTGTGTTTCCATTGCTGGAGATGTTGAGGTGGTTAAAAAACATTTAAATTACAGTAACCACAAGAAACAAATTGAAGCCAAGTGCCTTTTAGAGTAACTGGGATTTTCCACTTTCAAATAAATGCATTATTACTTGAGTTCTTACAGCTAGAGGGCTGTACCCACTTTGGAAAGAAATTATTTTTTTGCCATGTGAAAAATTTACTGTGCTGATAAAAGTTTACTAAATGAGGACCTAGTTTCTTTCATTTCCTTAGTATTTTGAGAAACACAAAGTATATCCTTCAGTTAAAAAAAAGTGACATGCTTAATCTGTTGTATCTACTGATGGAGAGGATTCCTTACTGTCTGGAATATTTTCATATTTCAGTAGCCTGAAATGCCTGAGTCACTGAGAGCTCCACCCACACCACCACAGGACATATGGTTGGGATTCTCAGGACATGGCTTAAAACAAGTGGAATAACTAAGGATTGATTCCCCATAAACTCTGTCAGGCAATTTCGTCTGTAGTTTGACATCAGCTAAATTCTCAGCATTCAACGAACTTGTCTGTTTCTAACCTTTTATGTATTTTGGCTTTTGCTTTAATTTATTTTCTTAAGGTTCTTTATTAAATTAAAAGAAAAAAGCAAAGTCAAATACATGTCATTTTTAGGTAATGCACATCTCTAGACTCCCTCCATTAGCTTAGGTTGTTCAGAGTTCACTCTTTATGGTATTTGTGTGTAGAAACATACTTGGAAAACATATCATGTTACTGAAAAGTTAGTTCTAACACCTTTTTATATATGGAACTGGCTTAGTTTTATTGTCCAAATTCCCCACTTTAAGAATTTTTAATAAAATCTTGAGGCATAGTGTGGTAGTAATGCCTAAATCTTGCAGAAGTGCTGCTATAAATTTGCCATTGTTAATTGACAAGTGAATTGTGATACCAGTGTGATAATCTACAGACCTGAAGGAGAACATGTAAATTAAAAATTATAATTCATGCATAAATTACAAATAAAATTAATAAAAATAGTACTTTATAAACATTAAGGTTCTTATTAAGGGTTTGTAAAAAGTAACTATAGATAAGCAGATATTGGGGAAAAAAGAAATAAAGAAGCTTCCTCAAATCATAAATGTTTTCAGCAGTGAGGTAGAGTTAAAATCTAATCCTCAGGTTCTAAAGATATTTGAGAAGCAAGTATTAAAGAAATCCATTGTGTGCAGAGTTGTGATTTATAGGCCAAATTTGGTACATTTTATCTGGATCTTCAGTAAAATTAGATTTATTTTTCTTGCACTATTTCAGAAAATCATCTGCTTCCAAGACGGCACAGAATGAAACTCAACCGTTATCTCGTACCAGTGCCTCCCTAGCCAGTGGAAATGAAGTAGGAAAGAACCTGGAAGGGGCTGTAGAAAACGAAGACACCTTAATGCCAATGATGATGCCCAACAGCTTTATTGATGCAAAGGTACTCCGAGCTGTGAGATGGATTTGCTGCATAATCCCTCCCTCCATCCATCTTCGTTTTATGTGTCAAATTTACTTACCAAAAAATTATATGTTGACTGTATTACATCCGTATTCTACTTAAGGAAATGTGAAACCATTTCACTCAGATCCTTCCTTACATAAAATATTTGGGACAAGAAGATAGATAACATACGGAAGAATAAAAGACGAAAGAGATATAGGAAAAGAAGAGAATGTAGTATACATTCAATTAGATGGGATTATATGGAGCTAAACTGTCTTAAATAAAGACACCAGGGTCATTAATCTATATTTATGATAAAATGAATCACCCTGTTTTTACTGAGTGGTTCATTTTTTATTAATCCACTTTGCACTTACTTTGACTGATTTTTCTGCGTTGCCCATCACATCATTCCAGGTATGAACGTCATGTTTAAAAATATGGAGCATCTCAATAGATGTCTCCAGATCCTCCCCGTTATGGCCAGAGGAAGTTAGCTATAGTTAAGAATGTCATTGGGGGATGTTACTTCATGTCCTTTCCACTATATGTAATAATAGCACAGTGTGATAAGCGTTATGAACACCAACTGAAAATTATTTTTACTCACAACATTAGAGAGTGTGCATTATTATAATAGCTCTCATAACCAATGTGGTATAAATCAGGCGTCAGTAAACTACAGCCAAGCCCAGGCCAGCCCATGGCCTGTTTTTCTATGGTCATCCCTTGAACTAAGAATGTTTTTTATATTTTTAAAGGGTAGTTTGGGAAAAAAAAAAAAAGATGGAGAAAATGTGACAGAGACCGTATGTAGCCTGCAAAGCCTAAAATATTTACTATCTGGCCCTTTACAGAAAAAATTTTGTCAAACTCTGCTATAAATTTCTTTTCCCTAAGCCTTCCCTAGAATTTAGAATAATAAAAATATAACAAATTTGTTCAATTTTGGTATTAAATTTTATACAGTTGTATTTAACAAATGCAGTGTACTTATGTCATAGTACAGTGGTATGTATATATACTATCTATATTATGAGGAAATAATGAATTGATTTTTGATATGCCTGTTGTCTTTTTTGTTTGTAACTTAATTCAGCTTTTATTTGCTGATAATAAATGTAAACCATTCAACTTATTTCAAATTAATCTAGAACATTAGAACTTAAACCTTTTAAATAAGCATAGAAAGTAGTAAAATACACTGTAGTTCCATTATGACTAAGTTGGGACTAGACATGAGAAAGGATTGTGGAGAAGCGGAGTGGGGAAGAAAACATGGAGAAAAAGAAGGAGAACTCCAAGAGAAAGGCAGATCCAAGTGGAGTCCTGACATGAAGCCAGGAAGCCAGTTTGGAGGACAAATCTCACCAGCCTCTTGGGTTAGCCTAAGAGTTGATCCCCCATTTATTGCCATATTGTTGAGCATATATGGGCCCATTTTTTCCCTTCTCAACTGCTTTTAAAATTTTCAAACATATGGAAACATTAAGAGAATAATGTAATGAATGCACAAATAATTGTATATTTTCATACTTCTATATCTCTATAGTTTTGGTTGCTGTACCATGGGAAAATAAGTTTTGGAATCATAGAGACTTCACCCCAAATACTTTAGCATATATATCTCTCTTAAAGATAAACCTATTATAACTTTTGATCACCAACAACTCCCCTGAATTTGTTATATGCTGCTTTTGTAAAAGAAGACACAGTAATGCCTATGACTGTTTTTTTCTCTTTGAACATTAAAAAGTTTTGTGTACTACTTGTGACAAACTGAAATCTATAATGTTTACCTTTTCCTCCTTTTCTTTCTCCAGGGAGGAACTGACCTGATAATTAATAGCTACGGTCCTATAATTAAAAACAACTCTAAGAAAAAATGGTGTTTTTTCCAAGATTCTAAGAAGATAAAAGTTGAGCAGGTAATCCACCTAAATGAGAAAAATCTTTGGCATCCCACAGTATATGAAATGGTAATTAAAAAGAGAGGAAGGTGTAAATGAATGCTTCATTTTAATTTTCATGTCTTTCTGGATCTTATTTTATTAATTTGGGGCATGACTCTATAGAGAGCCACGGGGAGTGATCACTGAAATGACAATTGGAATAGTAATTAGAGCTGTGGTTTTCAGTGGGGAGTGGAGGGCAGTGGAGAAAGGGGTGGTGTAGAGCGTGCATCAGAATCATGGAGGAAACCTTGGACACTTGACTTACCCAGTAATTCTGATGTGCTCCCAGTCCTTGGTGGAGAACCACTTACCTAGACAATCCCTTCATGATGATGACCTTTCTTCACCCATGGACTTGAACAGTTTGCTATCACAGAATGTATAGAATACATAAAACCAGATCTATTGTTTTTCAGGAGCATTCTATCATCACTGATGGAGTTTTATGTATTTTTGCCTAGCCTCAAAGAAGATTTACTCAGTCGGTCTGCTTTTACCAGCCCGGCACGACTGTGTTAATTAGTGATGAAGACTCCCCCAGTTCTCCTGGTCAGACAACCAGCTTCCCAAGACCCTTTGGTGTTGCAGCTGATACTGAGCATTCGGCAAATAGTGAAGGCAGCCACGAGACGGGGGATTCTGGAAGGTTCTCCCATGAGTCCAATGATGAGATACACCTGTCCTCAGTTATAAGTACCACACCCATGACCTCTGATTCCTTTACTGGTAGCGATTCAGGTGGGGATCCCTCGATGGGCAAGTGTGAAGATCCTGCAGTGCCATCAGAGGCTGAGCAAACTTCCTCTTCAGTTCTGCGGCCGCCATCTGCCATAGTACGCTTTGATAAAAATGATTTCCCAATGTAGACAGCCACATTCAGGTATTCTCATGTTTAATTCTGTTCGAAGGACAATGAACAGGGAGCCAAAGCCTTTTGTGAACATCTTAATGTCTTATTGGGTATTTCAGCTTTTTTTGAATGTGTTTTCTTTTTTATTTTTAAACTCACGTATATTGAATGTTTCATTGTCAGCAATGTGAAAAGACAGTCAAGATGTTTGACTGGATTATAAAAATATATCACTGGAGCAAAGGGAGGACTGCTGAAAGCCCCTTTGCTAACTATCTACCTCAGTTTGCCACTTGGCAAACTCAGAAGACAACTTTGTTACCTCGTTTGTTGTGATAGTTTATCTCAGCTACATAACCAATGATACTTCCTAGTAGCATTTTGTTTTCATTGCTGTATGTGTAATGTGTGTGATCAAAGGAGTCATATAGGTAGGTGAGTAAGAATGTTTATCTGAAGCTCTGATTTAAAAAAAAAGAAATCAGTGACATCTGCATGGTTTGTATAATTTAATACCTCTGGCTGTGAGGACGGTTAAACCATAGAGAAAAAGTGGGACTGCTGATTTTAGTGAATGACCAAGACAAAAAAAAGTGTATCTCTTGAGAATAGAACTGTTTGGTAGCATATAGAAAGTACTATTGCTTCAAGGGCCTTTATGTTTTGGGCATCCGAGTCTGAGTGCTTTATCTGCTGTATCCCAAACCTCAGCCTGCCTCGAGCTGTGCCTTTTCTACCTTCCCACTTGCCTGACAGTTGGCCAAAGGCTGCACTGTCTAGTGTGCAAAGCATCTTCAACATTTTCGGAATTAGTTGCAAAACTCCATGCAGAAGACAGATCTTTAAGGAGAACAGGATAGGGTTGTTTTGTTTTGTTTTGTTTTTCAATCCCAGCTTGGCTTAAAGGGGTAAAGAAATTTCATAAAATATTAAGAATGAAGATAAATGCAACCATAGACAGTAAAATGAACGTGAGATTATCATGGTAACAGTGCCTTCCATTATATATTATGAAATTCTTTGCCTTATATCTTTTTAATATTCATGAAGTTCAGGAGAAGAATACAGAAAGTTGCCTTAAGAGTGTCTTGGATTTTATCAGTGACTATTTTGATGTACAGTATCTTATCAAAGGGTTTTGGTTTGTTATCCTGCAGGTTTTGTTTAGGGATAAGTATTCAGAGCTCTACCACCTTGCTTGTATTTTCTTGAATTCTTAAGAGAATTTGGTCCTCTATTTAACCTTCCTTCAGGGTCAATGCTGTGAAAGAGGAATGCTAACTCCAGGAGTGAGTTAATCCTCTTGCTGGTTTGAAATCAGCAAACTGTTTACTCAGCCACGTAGAATAGGCCTTCTCAGTCATGAGACAGTTACCTACTAGGTGCCCAGCAGCGGGAGAGGATAAAGAATTAAAAGTGTAGAGAGGGGACCTCATCTCCTTTTAAAAGTATTTTTTCAAATTATCTGGAAATGACTTTTGGAATTATCTGGAAATTCACTTTAAAAGGAATCTAAATGGGCTTCCTCTCGAAACCTTTGGTTTCTAGAGAGGGGGATTGTGTTAAATGGTGTTCTAAAACCAAAAGAACATTACTGATAATAGTCCCACTTGTAGCATCTCCTATCCCAATATCTGATGATACAACATTTTTTATTGTTTTTTTAATCTGTACTTTTGTGCCAAACTGGATGTGTTCAGAAGCAGACCAACATTAAGGGCCAGCAGCCACTTCTGAACTGAATTCAAAGTCCCCATTTAGTTACGGACGTATGTGCTTCACAATGAAATGGAAAGAAAAAGCAGAGCTTTAGGTGAACAATCTGAGGCAAGAAAAAAGGAAAATGCTGCTCCTGCCTGTATCGCTCCTGTTTTATACTACCTCCTTTTAAAGTTATTCTAGTGTTATTTTTTTTTTTTTCCTGTACTCAGGGAACATTTTGTTACTTTTGAGCTGCCTCATGGAAGCATGGGCAAATTGACAGGGTATGGCATTTCTTTGTTTTTTGTTTTTTTGGGGGGTTCGTAAGTAGAAGTATGTGGGGCCTACTTTTATCAGAATCTAAAATTGAGTACAACGAGTTCATTTTATTTTTTTAAACTTTTATTAAAAGACAAACAAAACCTAAAGCTGAAACATCATCCATCGTGGTTATCAAAGATGTGTCTAGGACTGTGTGCATGTGAATAATTTTAAAAGCCTAGAAAGATGATCTGAAGTCTTTGAGGAACGTATTTTTTTGTTTGGTTTTTGATAAATAGGCCCGTAGGTATTGTAGATCTTTAGGCTATAACTATTTGCTAATTATTTACCAGTACATTTTTTTACTTTTTCATCTTTTCACTTTGTTCCTATACAGATTTTTTTTTTCATAATAATCCTGTTACCAAAGAATTTTCGGTAGAAAGTGAAAATTTGACTATAATTTCCCCTCAGATTGAATTGACTAGAAACATCTATAGGTAATGAAGCTTATACAAGTAGTTACTAACCCAAAATAATAGGGTTTGTATTGATTGTTGTAGTTAAATAGACTAGTAATTTTAACTACCTTATGGTTACCAGAGCATTTAAAATAAGTTCTTTCCCAACAGAGAGTTCCAAAGAATTTCAAGTGTAATTTTTTTTTCTTCAGCAAGGAAATCTTCAACTATACAGTATTAAAGTATTTTTAAATTGTTGAAACTACTTGTTGGAGAGAAAAAAAAAATCTTTTCACCAAAGATTAAATATTTTGGTCTCATTGAATAAGATATTTAGTGTACTACAAAGACTTGTTTACTTGGCCAAAGCTAAGCTTCTTTGAAGCCTTAAGTATGAAATAGTAACTAAAATGTGAAGGCTCTCTCTTATCTCGCATAGTGGTGTTACTTCATGGTATTTTCACTCCAAAGGGGCTAATATGCAAATGGTAACTATTTTCTTTTCCAAAGACTTATTTGCTGTAAGTACTGATACACGCATGTCATTTTTATGCCAAATATTACAAGATACTGCTCATCAATATTTTCATACCAAAGACCATTAAAATATATAGATTAGCCTGTAAGTAAGTAAAGATGAGCAGATTTGAAATAAATTTATTTAGAGGCTGATAGGGAATCTAGCTGTAGTAGCAAAAGATATCAAAGGGCTAAGTTTACGTAATTAAAAGCAATACAATTATATTGGTATTTATCAGTGTTTTTATTCAAGTACTTTTTAATCAGCAAATAAAAAATTTAAAAAACCAAAGATATTTAAGGTTACCTCCGCATATAGGCAAATTTAGTTGTACATTAAGCTGTCGTTTCTAGTTTTTATGTCAAACAAACATGTTTCTCCAGAGCCCAGTCTGTATACAAATAGCATACATAGGGATTTTCCATTAACTCTGCTGATTCAGCAACAGGGTGTTTTTGCCAAATGATGTGATACTTTTCCTAAGCACCTTGAATGTGAGATGTCAACAGAAGTATCAGCAGGCTTTTCCATTGCAGAGCATTATGGCAATTCCTGAGCTAGCCCGTGCAGTCCTCCTCGTGCTTAAAACATTACCTGGCTAACTCCGAAGGCTTGAGGCTGTCCCCTAATAGTAGGGATGTTCTCATCTCTGGAGAGCAGAGGACAGAACAGACACACAAATCACATCACTGTCTGAGTGGGCTATGCTCTGACAGATGTGCTCTTTCAAGTTGTCCATAAGGTGAAATATTTTCAATACATCAAGGGAGCCTGGCATTTCAAACTTGAGTGGAACCTTGAGTAAAAGAAAAATCTTTTTTTTTGAAATCTGAAGTTTTATGTGTTGATTAGCCTAAAAGTAAGGATACAGCTTTATCCACTAAGTGGCTTTAAAACATCAGCTTTGGCACAATAGGGAAATTAGATCCTCAGTGAAATGCCTTTTGTTTGCCTTTGCTTCAAACAAAAGCGGTGCCAACATTGGGAACAATGGCAGTGATTTGCATTGGTTTGTCTTGGCATTGTTAAGGACTTCTGCTAGAATCTTGCTTATGTTGATGACTCAGGATCATTGTTCTAGTCCATATGAAGACACCTTTGGAAACAATCCCGAGTGTCACACAAATGGAATTGAAAGTTGTTTTTGTTTTTAATGCAAGAATATCCAGATGTAGCTCCATCTCAGCAGTGGCTGTAGTGATTTACATACACGTTTATATTTCATTGAATGTAAAATTTGAATACTGAATGTAAAAAAAAAAAGTTCCAACTATACTGAAAGAGCCATGATCTCTCTAAGTCTACACATGTATTTTGTAGACTTTGTTTCTGATAGTCTGCCACATGCGTCTCTGGTCAAATTGCTTTGGTTTAATTCATAATCAAAATAATTTTTGTGGGCTCTGAGCACAGAGTGGAGGGTTCTGGAGATCACCATACACAGCCAGTTGTCTGTGAATTTTATTGATGTTTAGAAGAACGTATATATAGAATTCTGTGTTAAATTGATGTATGCTCAGGATATACGATCGCAGGCTAATGCAATGTGTATATTTCCAGGCTTTAATCTTCTCAGGCAGTTTCCCTTTTCAAGCCTTTGTAATATTAACATGACAGTCTTGTATTTTTACCAGATACTGTATTATTTTCTTATTATTGCTGCCACAAATTACCGCAAACTTAGTGGCCTTAAAACAACACAAATGTATTATCTTCCAGTTCTGTAGGTCTGCAGTCTGACACAGGTCTCACTGGGACAAAAAAAAAAAAAGTATCCTTTGTCTTTTCTGGCTTTTAGAGGCTATGGTCCCCTCCCTCCATTCTCAAAGCTGACAATGTAGCATCTCTCAGACCTTGCTTCCATTATCATATCTCTTTTCTGACCCCAACCAGGAAAGGGTCTTCAATTTTATGGACTCGTATGATTAGATTGACCCTACCTGGATAATCCAGGATAATTTTGCCATCTCAGAACCCTTTTTTTAAAATTTATTTATTTTTTATTGTTAGTTCCAGGTGTACAGAACATTGCAGTAGTTATCCTTTTCACCCTTCGCACAGAAACATCAGAATCCTTAATTTCATCACATCTGCCAAGTCCCTTTTGCCATGTGTGGTAACATATTCAGAGTCCAGGGATTGGAGCAGGGACTTCTGTAGGTGGCCATTGTTTTCCCTACCACAGGTACATTATTTCTGTAGAATTCGGATCCCCGTGAAATGTCCATAGCATTACAGAGATCAGAAATCTGAAGATATGTCCCCCCTTGGGCTTCCTCAGAATTTCAAAACTCTGAAGACTTTCACTTATAGCCTATTAAATGTTTACATTGAACTTTCTCTCTAAATCACTTGCAAAAACAATTCATCTTTAAGCTTTTAGAATATGTGCTTTGTAAAGTAACACCTCAGGTCTATGTGTTTCACAGGAAGTTTCCTAAATGTTTGGCTCTAACTTTATGGAATTTCATGAGAAATTTTTGAAAACTGTTCTTGTTATAGTTGAACTGAATCCTTTTCTCTTTTTTTGGGACTTTCATAGGGACTCAGAGTAGATGAACAGGACCATGTTCATGTTCATTCTTCATTTTCTTTTAAAAGCATATTTGCAACAAGCATCCTTTCTGCTTTTTAAATTAGGTTTATTTTTTCAGCTTAATTAGCCACTGACTCTTTGGTGTTCAGTTTGATAACCCCTCAGTTTCCCATCAATTTCAGCAAGAGCCTCTACTTACTTACCTTATCAGCATGAACAACAACTGGGAAATTTTATCTTTTTTGTCATGCTTCTTCTTTGATTCCAATTGTCTCTTTTCCTGGAAAACTTCAGTTTCCACAGCTCTAGTTTGTTCTAATTCCTGGATCATTTCAAGTTAAGTCTTTCAGTTTTGAAGAATAGCTTCTAATTCTACCCTAATTTTAGCATTTCTTCAACTAAAGAGATAAAGCTATCTCCATCATCAGTTAGAGACTGTGATGGTATTCTGAGTAAGGATAAGAATGCTGGCCTGGTCGTGTTGACAGTAGTTTCTAGGAAGGGATAATGCCGTTTACTGAGCACATGCGACATGCCCAGCACAGGCTCCCTCCATCTAAACTGCTACATTCTGCAAAGCAAACATTATCCCCGTTTTAGAGATCAGGAAATTGAGGCTTAAAAATGTCTAACTTGGCAAAGATCAGTCAGTAAGTGGCTTAGCCAAGATACAAACCCAAGTTGGTCCAACTCCCAAGTTTATAGGATTTCTACTATAATGCATTTTCTCCACTACGAATTGATATTTAATTACCCAGGCTCATAGTGCCTTCCACTATATCAACACAACCCGTCCACATAGTAATAGCCAACCAACAGAAAGAAGTCGGTCTTAGTTACAGCTATTTATTCACAGGAGGGATTGAGGAGACTGAGCTGTGACTCACCCTTGTCATCTCCTAACCTCCTTTCCTCCTTTAAAACCTTCAATTACTCTTAGCCAAAATTACTCCTGAAAACTGATGCTTATGCATAAAGTTGCATGAGAAATAAGGTAGCCATGGTTTCTGGAGTCATTATCTATTCAAGCATTTCCTTATTAGACTACGTGTTCAGAATTGAATTGTATCTTTTCTAATTTTTCTGTAGTCACTGTATCCAAATAGGAATTTATTAACTGGAAAAAGCCACGTGTATAACCAGCCATTCTTCCTTGCTAGATCTGAAGAGTCAACTGTTTTAATATGAATGCAACCTAATTATTCACACTAATTTAGGAGGGAGCGAAGTTGAGGGAGAATCGTATAGTAGAACAAGTGTAAGTTGAATCATTGGGAGCACTTAAATTCTAGTCCTTGACCATTTGAATCTTGTTTGGTAGGAAAGCTCTCAGTCTATTTGTGTGCCTCTCTATCCATGAAATGAAATAATTTGTTGTGCAGAAGGAAGCAATAGTTTCTTGAAAACTTAAAAAGAAAATTCAAGTGAAAATAATTATATCCGAAAGTAATTTCTATGAGGCTGTGAAACATAACTGATTTCTTTTCTTTATAGGTCAGCCTTTCCAATTACATTTTGCTCATGTTAAAATGAAAAATGTTTGCATTTCCTGTATGTGCACCAAAAAAACTAACAGAAGAAAGTGGTTGGTAAAAGATATAGAATGGGATTTAAACACTCATCTGTAATGTAGGGAAATCTATAACAGGAAACAGGAATTTACAGTACTTTTGAAAGTACTAAAACAGGAAATCTTTTTACACCAAATTAAATCTTTCATTTTAAAAAAATACCTTGGTTTTTAAAGATTTAAGGAGAGAGTCAAATATCCCCAGAGGGGTAGATGGGTGAGGAGAATGTGCATTTTTAGGATTCTTGTCTAACATCTAATTTTTCAAGATTATGGAGCGTTTTAACATTTCTTTAAACTACTTGGAATAAATCTTATAAAGGGAAACACCTACTGGCACCTATTCTGCTTTACTCAAATCTACCTTTAAGACTTATGGGAAGAATTATATGATTATCATCTGTTTTTAGAGCAAAGAAATACTTTCCCTAACTTTTTCTTGCACCTTCCAATATCACTCTTAGTATAATCCATGAGATTCTGAACACCTTAGCAAATTTACTGAAGTTTATATCTTGGAAGTAGTTCACGGCATTAGACACAGTCCTAACTTACAAAATTTATCTTTAAAATTTTATGCTACAGAACTTTATTTTTCTACAGAATTGTCTTTAAAAACAATAAAAGTATTTAAAATTTTTCCCTAAAACATTCTTCTTTTTATTACAATCCGTAGATCTGTTTTGTTTGCAAGTGAAAATGATTACCGATGATTAGCAACTTGAGCCTGTTACAGGAATTTGCAAAGCCTGAACATATACGCATTGCCTTAGCCTATCAGTAGAGTAGAGGATATATATTAAGTTTGTCTGTTTGTTGCTGTTATTGGACAGAATTTCATGTCTATGTATGTGTGATTTAAAAAATTTTTTTTTCAAAGATGTGAATTAAATGAAAGTGTGGGTGCCAGTTATATAATTTCATATTATGGGTGTTCTGGATCCTTTCACTCTATATACCATGTTCTTGTAAGGGCAGCATTTGCAGACTTGCTAATGGACTCTAGAGCTGAGCTATTTTAATTTTATACTTGACTCAGGGGATCAGCTCTGTGAACTCCATTGCTTGAAGAAAGCTAATGTTTGCCTTGATTTTGAATGTACCTTTTTAATGTCTTCTTAAAACATATTTTGTTTAATAATGTGGGTTTGTTTTCTTTTTCTAGCATCATAGTAAATATTGCCTAGTATTTTCCCCCTCCTCAGGGTAGTTTCTATACTATCCTACAGGTCATGCCAAAAATGAATAAAAGTTTAAATGCCAAAATGTTTATGAAACTGCTGTCTAAATACTGATTGATTGCACAGTTTAAATAAAAATTTCCTTAGTTAAAAAAGAAAAACCTATGTTTTCTTTTACTCTTCAGTTTTCTTTTGGGGAATGGAGAATGAAAACTTGCATTGTATGGAATGATGGCTTTCATATCCTGGGATGGGATGATTATTATAGAGTCTACTGCAAGCAGTAAGAATAGAGTCTGTTTAAGGTATGTAAGCATTGTTTTCATCTGGAATTCACTAAATAGTAAGGAAAAAAACAGTTTTCCCACTCCAGTAGATGGTTGCTTACCTCAGGAACTAAATACTAGGTAGTATAAGAGCTATGGGTTTATCTAGATAGACACAGTTCTATTTCAAGTAGGAATTTTTGGGTTTTAATATTATTATTAAAAGTGGTTAAGAGAATATTGAAAACACTCCCACCAAAAAATTTAGAAATAACACAAAATGTGACTCAAACAAACTTTTTAAGATAACTGAATGCTTATTTTCTTTTTTAAACTCCCAATTGGGGAATGAAAGAGGAACTGAAAAATAGAATAGTAACTTCTTGAAAGACATTGTGCTGACTGTAGAGAATATAAAAGAAAGACTTGAAATATAAGAGAAACAAAATTATATATTTTCTAAAAGAATGAGTATATTAGGAAAAGAAATGAATAAAATTTCCAGAAATAACAAAATACAGTAATTGAATTTTTAAAAATCTGTCAAATCACATAGTAGATACACCAAAAAAGTATTCTAAAACTGAAAGATAGATATGAGGAAATTATTCAGGATAATTTGGCACAGAAAAATAAGTAGATAGAAAATATAGATAAAGGTAAACAGAGAAGATTCAAAATACATCTGACAGCCATTCTAAAATGAAAGACTAAAGAGAATAAAGGATAAGCAATATTCAAAGAGCAAATGACTAAATAATTTATGAAATCTTCAGGGTCTGGAAACACAAACCTCAATCTAGAAATATACAAATAAATCCACACACTAAGACATTTCAGTGAATCTGCAGAACATTAAAGACAAAGCAAAGACTTTAAAGACATTTAGAGGGGAAAAAAAGACTATATAGATTGCAGTAAGATTTCCCCGTGACAATAAAAGAAACAAGAAGATGGTGGGATAATATCTTTAAAACATCACAAAGGGAAATAACTACAATATGGGGTTCTATACACAGAGAAACTATCATTTAAATAGTAGGGTTAAATAAACATAATTTTGTATAAAGAATGAGAGAATTTACCACTCATACACCCTTGCTAAATGAACAATAGAGGATGTACTTTAGGAAGGAGATAAAATCCACAAGGAAGACAGGAGAAGCAACAAGCAATGATGAGCAAAAAATACAAGTCAAATAGACAATGAGCTACCGCTCTATATCTGCTAGGATGCCTATAATAAGAAAGACAGATAATGACAAATGTTGGCAAGGATGTGGAGAAATTAGAACTCTTATATGTTGCTAGTATGAATGTATTGGGTTGTCGGAAAAGTCATGACACATTTTTGCAACAAAATCATAGAAAAAATATGTCATGACTTTTCCAACAACCCAATAAAATGGTGCAGCCACTGTGGAACATAGTTAAGTAGTTCCTCAAAAAGTTTAATATAGAATTACCACTTGACCCAGCGTCTCACTTCTATGTATATACCTAAGAAAAATGAAAACATATGTTCACACAAAAATTCGTACAAAAGTATCCTTAGCAGCATGTTCATAACAGCCAAAAAGTGGAGACAACCCAGCTGATGAATGGATATAAGAAATGTAGCATACCAACTCAATGGAATATTATTCAGCAATAAAAAGGAATGAAGTACTGACATTGCTACAATAAGGATGACTTTTAAAAACATGCTAAATGGGTCCGGCCTGATGCTCAGTTGTTTAAGAGCGCGAGTTCTGAGCAACAGGGTCATTGGTTTGATTCCCACATGGGCCAGTGAGCTGCGCTCGAGCTGAACTGCCAACAGGTGGCAGGATGGCTGAGCTGGTGAGAGCACGTGCTCCTAACAAAAAGGTTTCTGGTTTGACTCTCGCATGGGATGGTGGGCTACACCCACCCACAACTAAGATTGAACACAGCACGTTGAGCTGAGCTGCCCTGAGCTGCCAACAGATGGCCGGATTGCTCAGTGGTTAGAGTGTGCACTCTTAGCAACAAGGTTTCCGGTTCAACTTCCACATGGGATGGTGGGCTACACCCACCCACAACTAAGATTGAACATGGTACCTTGAGCTGAGCGACCGCGAGCTGCCGACGGGCAGCCGGATGGCAACTGGACTTGGAGCTGAGCTTGCTGCGCCCTCCACAACTAAGATTGAAGGACAACAACTTGGCTGTTCCCCTTCCCCAATTCCCCAATAAAATCTTATTTAAAAAAAAAAAGCTAAATGAAAGAACCCAGTCAAAAAAAACCTCAACATATTGTTTAATATTTACATGAAATGTTCAGAATAGGCAAATCTATAGAGACAGAAAGTAGATTAGTGGTTGCATAGGACTGGAAGTTGGCAGGAAACAGGAAATGAGGGCTAGTGGGTTTGAAGGTTTGTTCCAGGAGTGATGAAAATGTTCTAAAATCAATTGTGATGATGGTTGCAAAACTGTGAATATATTAAAAATAATTGAATAGTACACTTAAAATAGGTATATTGTATATCATATCTCAATAAAGCTGTTTAAAGAAAACATGATGAGCAAAGACATAGAGAAATGGTAAATCTAAATCAGCACTAAATGTGTAAAAAAATACTATTAACTAATTTTATGTAAAAATAAGGTAGAATTAAGACACCAGACAACAGTGAGCTGTAAGACTGGAAGAAAAATGAGCAGAGTAAAATATTCTACCATTCTTTTATTAAATAACTTTATGTTAAAAGTAATATAAATATAAATACCTTTATGCTAAAATAATCGAAATAGAATATTTAATTTCTAAATCTTCTCATTTAGGTGAAGGAAATGAAAAAAACATGATCAATTTAATGGAAGGCAGGGAAGGAGACAGAATAAAATTCAAAAACAATCCTGAGAAAAAGAATAGTAATGTGATAGGAAGTATATCTTTAATTAAAAATAATAATAAATTACTGCCACTTTAAAGATTGGATAGAAAAAGAAAATTTTGTATGTTGTTGCCACTTAAAATGACCCCAGAATTCAGCAAAATTGTATGGTACAAGATCAACCCACAAAACTCAGTTGCATTTCTATCCACTTGCAATGAACAATCTGAAATGGAAGTTAATAAAGCAATCCTATTTACAATAGCATCTAAAATAAAATACCTAAGCATAAATTTAACCAAAGACGTGAAAGACTTGTACATTGGAGACTATAAAGCATTGCTAAAAGAAATTATACATCTAAATAAGTGGAAACATATCCCATGTTCATGGGTGTTGAATACTACCCAAAATGATCTACAAATTCAATGCAATCCCTATCAAAATTTTTTTTACAGAAATGGGAAAACCAATCCTCAAATTCATGTGGAGTTGCAAATGACCAAAACAATCCTGCAAGTCAGAGGAGTCACATGTCCCAATTTCAAAACTTAATACAAAGTTACAGTAATCAAAACTGTGTGGTAATGATGTATAGACCAATGGAAGAGAATTGAAAGTCCAGTAATAAATTAATATATCCATGGGCAATTGATTTTTGACAAGGATGTAAAGTCCATCCAATGGGGCAAAGAACAGTTTTTTCAATAAATGATGCTGAGGCAACTGGATTCCCACAAGCAAAAGAATGAAGTCAGGCTCCTACTTCACACCATATACAAAAATTAACTCAAAATGGATCAATGACCTAAATATAAAAACCAAAACCATAACTCTTAGAAGGCAGCATGGGTGTAAATCTTCATGACCTTAGATGTAACAATGGATTCTTAGATATGACATTAAAAGCACAAACAACAAAAGTAAAAAAAAAAATCCCATAAACGAGCTCAACAAAATTAAAAACTTACATTCATCAAAAGACATTATCAAGAAATTGAGACGACAACCTATGAAATGGGAAAGATATTTGCAAATCATATGTCTGATAATGGATTAATATCCAAAATGTATAAAGAACTTCTATAACTCAGCAACACTTCTTGACCAACAACCCAATTTAAAGTCAGCAAAGGAGTTGAATTGACGTTTCTCTAATGAAGTATACAAATGGCCAACAAGCACATGAAAAGATGCTCAACATCCTTAGTTGTTGGCATAATGCAAATCAAAACCACAATAAGATACAACTTCACATCTACTAGGATGGCTATATTGAAAATAAAAACATTTTAAAAGGAAAACAAATATTGTTAAAGATGTTGAGAAATTGGAACATATATTGCTAGTGGTAACATAAAATGGTCCAGTCACTGTGGAAAACAGTTTGGGCTCCTCAAAAAGCTAAACATATAATTACCATATATACACAAAAAGAATGAAAACAAGGACTGAACAGGTACTTGTACAGCAATGTTCATTTGCAACATTATTCACAATAACCAAAATTTAGAAACCATCAACAGATAAGTGAATAAACAAAATGTGGTATATTCATATAATGGACTATTATTCAGCTATAAAAAGGAATGAAATACTGATATAAATATAACATAAATGAACCTTGAAAACATTATGCAAAGTGAAAGAAACCAGTCACAAAAGAGCATATATTGCATGATTCCATTTATATGAAATGAAATGTCCAGAGTGGACAAATCCATAGGATCAGAAAGTAGTTTATTAATGGCCAGGGGAGGTTGCAGGGGTGCAGTTGGGGGGCAATAAGAAGTGACTGGTTTTTTTTTGAAGTGATAAAAATGTTCTAGAATTAGATAATGGTGATTGTTGCACAACTTTGAATATACTAAAATTTACTAAAGCATGAATATACTATGCGCTGAATTTTACACATTAAAATGGTGAATTTTATATGTAAATTGTATCTCCATAAAAAAATGTGAGTGTACAAATAATGGGACTCAAAGGAA